TGTATGTATATAGAAAATTTTCAAGCCTTGCAATGTTTTAGCTTTTTAACAGACTTAAACATGTGCCAAATGAAAATTCTTAAGCATTTTGACATACGGTATAGCTTAAATGTGCAAAAAGTATTTTGTTAAACATGCAAAAAAAATAAGTTGAAAACGCTTGAACAAGCAAACATAAGGACTTCTTAAATATGTCATAGGGACTTCTTGAACATGTGTCACGTGAAACGCCTATTAAATAATAAATAGAAATAGATAGATAGGTAGATAGAATATAGATAGCTGGATAGAAGATGGATGAGACATCTAAGCCGATATAATCTAGCCCGAAATCTACGAAGCCCGAAAAAAAACTTTGAAAAAAGTTTAAACTAATAAGAAGTTATTAAGCCCTCCTCGCCCTTATAACACAGACACGCACACACATACACACCAACACTTTCTTCGCTCGTCAAAGGACATAATATGAGGCCGATATATTATAGGCCGAAAACTATCAACCAAAAAAAAAGAAAAACAAGGTGATGAAAAAAAAACGTTGTGATGAAAAATGTGAATTATAATTTCTATTAAGATGTTTAGCATTTTGTTCAATCCACAGATGAGCAAAAAAATGTTTCCATTGAAACAACTCGAAGTTAGGTCACTAACCCGATAAAATATAGGCCGAATCAATTTGGCAGAATAAAGTTTTGATTTTAATTAAAAAACAGGAAAAAAAAACAGAAATATATACGATGTCAAGGTTTAAAAAAAATAACAAGAAAACAGCAGAGGTAAATCAGAAAAGCAACTAACTATATGGTGAAAAAAAATTAAAATTCAAATAAGCTATTTAGTTGAATGGTAAAAAAAGCGGAAACTAAGCCGACTGCATGCATGCTGAAACCTGTGAAGTGCTGAAGTGTAACTTTTTTTTTAAATCAATTGAAGCGTTTCTCAAATAACAAACATGTTGTATTTTTTTTTCTCACTTTGTTCAGTTCATGTTGAAAAAATGCACGCTTTCCGCATAAAACAAGCAGACAAACTGTAGGCCGACAATTGTTTGGAAAAGACTTTTTTCAGTTGAAAAAAAAAAACAGTTCCTGGTCAGATTCGAACCCACGACCATTGCCGTCCCTGGCATATTCTTCACTCCCAGGCTAAGTGCGAGACACACCAAGAAGTCCGGAAATTATGAGCCAAGATCCCAAGTGATTCTGTTAAACAAATTGTTAACACGAAAGAGGACTATATTCCGATTTAATAACGCTTGCTAACCGCAAGCGTAATTAAAAGCCTGTTTAATATAAATGAGAAGTTGAAATTTAAGTTTGTAATTCTACTTTGACGTTGTGACTATGCAATGAAATTTGGCATGGTGAAGTAACTGACAATTGTGAACAGATTTGTTCTTCATAACCTTTACATCGTAACATCACGCATTTAGCCGTCATAACACGTAATACAACAAAATAGAAAATTTGAAAGTCATCACATTTGAAATTACGCCGACAAAAAAGAAAGTCAGTCTCGGCTGACTATTCAAATTTCCCAGAAAAAATTCAATCTGATACGTATCGAAAAAACAAGGTTCGGCCGCTATTAGAACTCCAGTCTTAAGGATTTCAACGCACAATGATATGGAGGTTCCACAAAAAAGCAAATTGAAACTCTGACAAAACTCAGAATCTCAATTCAATAATTGGAATCTGAAAGTTACAAAATCCTTTTGCACCAATTTTGAAAAATCTAACTTTTTATGTCATGATGCTTGTTTATACAGGATGGTTCGCGTAAGCTTCTTGATTTCAACCGAACAAATCACCAAATTTTTTCGTCACAACTTTGTCCAATTTAGCAATGAAAATATGTTAACCAATCTGGCTGGATCAAAAAACTTGCAACATTTATTTTTGGTGTCATTACTTGACGAATTGCAAAATTTATTTTTGCTGTCATTACTTGACGAATTAACCATGACTCTTTAGATATGAAATATTGCTGTTGAAGCAACCTCGAGAATTTTATGAATCACGCTTGTTATTTGAGAACATTGTCATTCTAATTAATTAGAGCACAAACATCAGATGAAAACATACCTAACTGTCAAATGGAAAAGAGTAATGAACGCAAGTAAACAGAAAAAAAAACTCTTGACTTTGTAAAAATCTCGACTTTCGATTTTTCAAAGAAAAAAATGGAATCATTTCAGCTTTTTGAACTTCAAAAACAATAGACGATTGGCGCTTTTTGATAAAATTAACCCAACTTGAGAAAACTGTATCAATAGGTAAAGTTTTTATTCCGCTGGAAAGCTAAAAAATAAATTTCACTTTCGAAACTAGAAATGTTCACGTTTTTTGCGCATTTCCACGTTCGTATTTGGAGAGTGCTACTCAAGTAACTTTCAGCAGAAAATTTTAATTGAACTCAAAAAGTGTGTATATACCTTAGTGCATTCATAAATGCGTTAATATGTATGAATGCACATCTCTATTTATTTGAGCATTTTTTCCTGAATATCCTAATTAACATCGCCGCTCAAATTAGTTCCAAAAATCAAAAGTTTTCCAAGCAGACAAAATTGTAGATATTAAAGAAAGGCTAAAACGGCAACAGCGGAAAGTTTCAGCCTAACAGTATTCATCATTTAAGGGAAAAATTTACTATTAAGATCTTAATATCAACACAGAGACGAAGCTGAGCTTCGCACCACTTGCGATACAATTAGATCCATCAAATGAACAAAGAGAGTTGTGAAACAAACATGCACAAACCATAGAATGCAAAATCAGCATCCGAACACAAATAACCAAGCAGAAAATCTTCCAGCCGAATTTGTTTTTCATTTCAATTTAAAAAAAAACGTCCCTCTTCCACCTCATAACACAGAAACTTGTTTCGCGCATCAAAAGACGCAAAAAGAGGCTTCATAGCCGATATCAAACAAGCCAAAACCAATACTAATAAGAACTTTGAAGAATCAAGAGCGCGGCTAAAAAAAACGATTCCAAGATATGGCAACTAAGCCGACAAAAGATAAGCAGACAAAGAATTGCCCGGCAATTTAATTTGGAAAAAAAAAATTTCCTATTTGAATAAAAACAGGCCCTGGTCAGATTAAAAAATATTTCCTATTTGAATAAAAACAGGCCCTGGTCAGATTCGAACCCAGGACCATAGCCTTGTCAGGCGTATTCGTTACCTCCAAGCTAAGTTGGCCGGAAACGCTGACAAAATTGAATTAACTAGTGCCGCATTGCACACCCTTGCTCATCGCAAGGGTAATTAATTAAGTACCACTAGATAAGAGTCATGTGAAGCAAGTGTTTCACGGCATAAAAGTCTAGTACCGGATTGCAATACACTTGCTTATCGCAAGTAAATAAATTGAATGAACAAATGGCAAAAAAAAGTTAAAAAGGAGTACAAGTTCGTAGTTTTCAGCGTTTACGGTGCTGATATAATTTCATCAATTTGCAAACGACTGATATAACAAAATTTAGAGAAAACTACTTTAGCTTTGTAACTCTTGGTTGATTCTTATCTTTGCAAGGATATGTGAAAAATTAAAATATGAAGTTTTCCAAGCCGTACAGATTCAAATCTGCAATTAACTCGATTATTTGAGATATTGATTTTTGATTTTGTAACAATTGTCTGACATATACTATATAATTTTTTTCCATGAGCATGATTTTAGAATGATGACAATAAGCAAGAACAGTCGCTGACAACCGTACAAATTATACTCCAAATCCTACGGGCCAGAAAACTCCAAATCGAAAATCGCTTCACTTGCAATGCAGTTTCAACATCTAAAAACATAGCCAACAGACAGTTTGAAAAAAAAAATCAATGAACTTAAAAAAACAGAAAAATTGCTGTTTTTTGAAAAAAATCTCAGCTTTCGGATTTCCAAGAAAAAATGTGAACAATTTATGATTGACAATTTTTTGCTGAAACTTATCCAATTTGAGAAAACTGGATCAAAAGGTAAAATTTTTATTTTGCCGGGAAATCTGATAATTGAATTCAATTTTTGAAATTAGAAGTCAATCACGTTTTTCCTGCCCTTTACACTTTCGCTCTTCGATTGTTAAAGGCAAGGCAAACTCCCTTATCGAACAGCAAAGTGCAAAGGTCACGAAAAACGTGATCGACTTCTAGTTTCGAAAATGGAATTTGATTATCAGATTTCCGAGCGAAATAAAAATTTTACCAATTGATCCAGTTTTCTCAAATAGGGTTAATTTTATCAAAGTATCAATCAAAAATAGTTCTAGAAATTCAAAGAGCTTTATTTAAGGGCATAAATTTATTTTTTGAAATTCGATAGTTGAGATAATTTCAGAAACTTTTTTTTTCTGTTTAATTGCGTCTAACCAATAACTAAACTACTTTGCTGGAAAATCAGAAAATTAAATTCCTGAACAAATATTTATCAATAATTAGCTATAAGAAAATCAAACAAAAGCAAAAAAAAAAACAATCACTTCTATAGCAAAAAAAAAACAAGAAAACAATAACTTCAAAGATTGTTATAAAAACTTAAAATACAAGGATTGTTATCAGAAATTTTCTGCACATAGGCGAAGCGGAGCAAAGTTAGCAAACGGGAAAAAAAAGATCAAACAAATGCGAAAAAGTGAAATATGTCGAAGAAACTGCAATTAAAAAAAATTTTCAAAAAAATGTCTGGAATGATGTTCTATTCAGGAAACACAAACTACAACGTATAATGAAAAAATATATATGATTATCAAATCGCAACTGAGCCGACGACCTTTAGTTAAGTACTGTAGAACCGACAACAAATTCTTGTCATGAAAAACTTTGAACTATATATTGTAGTCTCAAATTTTTAACATTTTGTGCGATCCGGATGGGACCATAGAAACTACGTTTGCCCTTAAACTATAAAAATTACCTCCTTGAAATAGTACTCCTTGTAATACCATCATCTCCTTGAAACCAAACGTCTATTACTCTTTTATACCAAAACTGCTGCTTTATTACTTTTTAAATTTCAATAGAGTTTATAAACCAAACAGTCTGAAGCAATAGTTGCGAAGATATTTCTACATTCAGTTAAAGTTTCAAACAACGGCTCATTTGCAAACTTATTATTTTCATTGTCTTCACTGAAATCTTCGTATAGACTGAATTGTGATTTTTCGGCTCCCAGAGCAGACCAGCATATTTCAGCTACTCGAAAAAGCACCGAAGAAACATCTTTGCACAACGGTGGAAAAGCTTTCCCAATCCTTCCTAAAGCCGGAATAAGATACTTGAAATACGAACTTATTTCATGTTTCGGGAGAACTTCGACTACGGTTGACATTACTGAAATTGTGAGCTGAGCTATCGAGTACGCTTTGGGAATTGTGTACAAACCAACAAGATGAGAAACAAGATCGATCGCAAAAATCTGCTGCTCTCTGTGAGGTTGATTAAGCAACTCGGGCAGAAAATCAAAACAGCAATGCATAGATGGTATTCCTTGTGTTGTAACAGCTAACAGCTGGTGATCATATCCTTGGAAATGAAGTAACTTTATAATATTTGAATCTTCTAGAAACATCTGATGTATTTGACTGCAGACAATACCTTGTATTTCTCGCAAATTCAGGCGATCGTGGCTGTTTTCTGATTGACTATGGTTTTCAAATTTTTCACTTTCGTTTTTGGGCAAACAGATTTCTAAAATCATTTGAACCGCAGTGGATTCCTGAGTGGAAATAAGAGCTGCTCTTAGGTCTTCCTTCTCTTGGTCTTTAATAGCTCCCATGTTTAGTGAGTTATCACCAGAGGAAAGCGAAATCTGGTGAGACAAATGGACTCTAGACGCAACCAAAAAAGCAGAAAGTACCCGAATGACAATCGTCAAAAGCGTTGGATATCTAAAGACTTTTTCATCACATTTCAAGACAAGCAGAGGATCGCAAGTAAGATCAGAGATTGTATACTTCGCTGGGATATTTGAGTTCGATATTAAAACATTAACTGTCTTCATCCACAGAAGTCTCGGCAAACAAGCGTTGAAACAGTTCCAGACATCCAATACTAAATTATGAATCCTGAGAGCAACATTCGGCTTTAATAGACTCGGTAGAACTGAAACAAACGCATCTAGCATGTTTGAAGCGTCATTTTCTGTCATTGATAGCATAGAAAGTAGGCTTCTTATGCAGTCTTGACTATGTTTAACAGGTTTTTCGAAAACGAACATAAGCTTCGGAGCTGTCGGGAGTGGTGTTTGCTCACTGTCAAATAAAGTTAAGGATAATTTTTTAGATGCTACTTTTCCATTATGATCGCTATTTTCGAAAAACCATTTCAAGGAAACTGAACTGTTCAGTTGGAATAATTGTGGATACTGGTTATAAGCGAGCTTCAATAGCTTGGAATACAGCACTGACATCTTCGTTTGAAATTTTTCTGCTTTTTTAATGATGAAACGTATCGGAATCATTTCTATTAGCTTCTCTGAGTATTGCAAATCAGACAATTTCTTTTGTCTTGAGTTCGAAAGAGCGCCAAATCTGTTGGGCTGAACATTGAAGGTTGCATTATATTTAGCCGCATTGAGCACAGCAAGTCTGTAAGCTAATAGATAGTAAACCATTAAAGTTTGACAAGCAAACAGCTTTTCACACTTTGCAGTATCAAACGGCTGAATGAACAAAGTTGAGATTTCCTTCTCAGCAAAAGGAACTTCTTGGAACTCATCTGGTGAACATGGATTCACAACGCTGTTGATGAAATTATCAAGCAGCTCAATCATTGATTTATGGAGAGGAAATTTACAATTAACAGTCTGAGCAAAAATCCACTTGGATACCGAGACATGATTCTTCTCAAACGAATTTTTGGCCATCAAATTACAGAAGCAATCAATCGGCAAGTAAGAAAAGTCATTGGAAACAAGTTTACTGCACATTTCACTGGTTACAGGCAATTTGGAGCAAATAATTGCCGTTTCATTTTCGCTCAAAACTAATTGAGTAAAGAAAACGCGGATTCTGTTGAAATTGTCAGTTTTAAGATTGATAGGTATTCCGTAAACCGAACTGACTAAATTTTCTAGCTCTGAATCCCTATTGTGCAGAAAGTGAATACCAATGTTGAGTAAAGTTTCGATATGAGGTGCCTGTTTCAGATTGTCTGAGCTACCGTGACAATACAAAATCCATTTACACCAATCCAAAAAGCGCTTCTCGTGTGCATGATCAAGTATATATTGTGGAATGAGAACCAATGATGTCAGAATTATTTTACAGTATGAGTGGAACAATTCTTCTGGAACGTTGTTTAGTTTTAGGGTCATCAGGTCAACTAGATCACTTTCATTTTCAAGTCTCCATTGAGTCAACAACCGTAAGCCTGTCACTAGTTTGACCAATCTTGTTGCCCTCATTATGACATCGGCCGTTGCTTCTGAACAGCGGAACTTTTCATGCAGAGCTTTAAGAGAACTTACAATCATATTACAATGTGCAGTTTTACTCTTCCAGCATTGTTTCAAAAACGGTCTGAGCCACAATTTGACTTCACTTTTTGCCTCACTGAAAAGCATTTCATGCATGAATACTTCGAAATATTCAATAGTGCTTTCAATATTACACTTATGGATCAAAAGATCGAAAAGTAAATGTGGGTTAACTTTATACTCCACAATATAATTACTCAAGAATTCGACTGAAGTACTTTGTAAGTTGCAAAGATTCAGGATGAAAGAGTTCCTATCGATTTCGATGTAGGGAGGCAACGAAACGTGGATAACTACGACCAGAAAGTTTCGGTAAAGAAAACTTAGATTTAAAAGGAATGATTTCACAAAGATCCAAGGGCTTTTTGTTATCAAAATTATTTGAGCTAACTCTGAAATTGAACTCAAACCACTCAAGGCATGGTTGGTGTGTATCACAAAAAGGCAATTGATAACCAAAACTCTGAGTGACTCAGTATGAAAAAGATGAAACTTATAGCCCTCTGGCAAAGAGGCCTTCTCAAGACAGAGGAGTCGCTTTAGCATAAGAATTTGAGAAACAACAAAAATCAATTGTTCTGCAACTTCGTCACTTTGTTCAAACTGAGATAAACGAGTCGCTGAAGAATCTTTTCGTAATTTTTCACAGATTTCGCTAATTGGCAGTTTAGAAAGTTCAAAATTTAATCGGCTGACTCGTTCCATAACTGCTTGATCTGGCTTAAATCGTATATATTTCATCTGATCATTTATTTGCTCGTTTAAATAAGAATCTCTATTCAACTTTTTGGCCAAACTTCGATTCACATTACCTCCATAACATGCGCGAACCAAAACGGGTAAGACTAATGTTATATCATTTGAAGAAAATTTTCGAAGATCTGGGTTTTTTGTTACCGACAAAATAGTGTCAATATTTAAAACACTTGTTTCCATTTTCATCCACCTGAAAAACTTTACTGATATATTGTTTAAAGACCTAGCATAACCAACAGACAACTGAGAAAATCTAGGGAAGCAAGTGAAAAAACACTGATTAGAAAAAACTCAAGTTTGTATTTCAAAAAAATGTGACATTCGACCAGAATGGCCAAAATGCAATTTATGCAGGCTTCGAATTTTTAGCAGTAAGCCTTCCGAGTTGATGATTTCGAAGGATTAGCGACGTTATTGGAACGTTTAGCCAAACGGTGAGGGCTAGAATATTCTAGTATTTTAAATTTTCAAAATTTCGAATGATGACGTCACATTTCTGAGAAATGCTGAAACGGCCATTTTAACAAAAAAGCGAGTAAAAAACAGAACAACTTTTATCTGTGATTGCGAACAGTACGAAAATCGAGATTAGAGAACGACAACAAATTACAGAATAGCAGAGAGCGTTCCGGGTTGCAACTATTGTGCTGCTACAATAGTTGCAAGGCCGTTGCCAACAACGGTGAAGGGTGAGAACCAGCCTTCCGGATTAGCAAGAAATCAAGTTAAGGAGCTTGATTCGGCGGATTCAAGAATCCGGAAGGGTCTCGGGACGGAAACTTTTATTAACTCACATAAACTTTTAGCATCCTGTCATGTCCTGACTTGAATTTAACTGATATTTTGATTAGTTTTGACAAGGATGAGGTGCTAGGAGTTGGGGGAAAGGGTTGATCCATCTTCGATGGAGATGATGATTTTTATCTACTGAACAAAAACAATAGTAATATGATAAGTAGTAGCCCTGTTTTTAGGAGTGACCTCGTGGTCTGGGGATACTGAGACCCAGCCATGAGCTCACTATTTTTGCATGTAATTCAGTTAATTTGAGCGTTCTGGTCGAAGCCGGAGAACAGTAACGTTTTTGTCGACCCGATGTAAGAAAGACCACCGAAAAGTACTGGCTTGGTAGAGACGGTGAAAAACATGCAAAGCTCTGTTTAGACGCTAGCCAGTCGTCTTAAGACTTAGTTTTGTTATCCGTCGATATGTATCTTCCGGGCGAATGTTACATGTATGTTTTTATGGCGCTCCTGGGTGTTATTCTTTCGTAACATCATGACCGGCGGAACCGTTAACGAGCACTCCGCGCCGAGCGGATGCTCACATTAACGCCCTTAATAGGCCTAAACTGCCGGGGCGGAAGGGTAGTTCGGAACGCGGAAGCCTTCCGGATTGCCGTGAATAGTTTTTTAACCTAGTTAAGACCGAAAATTCATGAACCAGGAAGGGTGGGGGGAATCGCGAACCCCTCATCCCCTGAGTGGTTTGTGACCAAAAACACTTAAAGATATAAGCAAAACCAAACAAAAAGTAGTATAGTACCCAAGAAAAACAAAAAACATAAAAAATAACCGAAAAAACCAAAAAAAACAGTAAAAAAGTAAAAAATCAGTAGAAATCATCCCCCCAGACAAGATGTGATTCAACCCCCCCGTTTGTTGTTGATAGATATATTGTTGTTACAGGCATTTATATCAGTCAGGATTGTTACGATCAATTTTGTGGCCCGTTTGTGAGGCTTGTACTGTAGGGTTATTTGAGCATTTAAGCACGTTAATGATAAATTGCGCTCAATCCGGAGGGGTCAGCTGATTTGCGCTCAATTCGGAAGGGTCTTGGGTGAAGACCGATCCGGCAAGCAGTACAAGGAGCAACAAGAAGGGGCTCAACGACAACAACAATCGACTGTTGGGTATCGTTAACAAGTTTTGTATCCCTTTTGGTACAAAAAGTAAGATAGTAATCTGTGGGGGGCTCGACAGTGCTGCACTGTAGTGACCCTTCACCGAACTGCGAATATCCGAGTTAAGCACCTTAATTCGGATAATAAACAAACCCGGAGGGGTATAGTATTACTAATATTATTACTTAAATAGCCGATATTAATAGTCTTATATCGTTTTTCAGTGAAAAACAACGAAAACAGACCGGTTTTTAGGGTCAAAATAGCGATACTTTGATCCCCCCACAAGTCGCGATTTTTGAGATATCGATATTTTTTGAAACGGAAAAAAGCGCTAAGTTAGTGTGTTACATCGTAACTGCACTACTGTAATAAGTAGAACCGGTTAACTTCAGTTCGGAAGTGGTTGGAACTAGTTTGGTACCAAAAACCAAATTTTCCCAATTTTTGACAGTAAGAAACACTATAAAATCAGAAAATTTTTTGAAATCTTTGAGTTAGGACAGTAAAAATAGTTGTTCGGACAACGTCCACTAGTGAATCTACGAGTTTTAAAACCCGCTACCCGAAAGCCTTCCGGGTTGCAGAGAAATCGAACATAACGTGTTTGATTTGGTGGATTCATCAATCCGGAGGGGTCCAGGTAGCATAGTTTTTCGCAAATTTTTTCTACAAAAGCGTTTTAGATCGGGTCTTTTGCATTGAACTAGAAGAGTATAGGCCTTGTGAGCTCAGATCAATAGTTTTTAGGTCGAAAGGACCAGATTTGCGGAAAAAGTTAGGCGGAACCTATAAGAGAGAAAATTTTTGAATTTGGAAAAAAGACGTTTTGGTTAATAACTTTGGAACTACAGAGCATATCGAGTCAATCTTGGTACCATTAGATCAGAAATTAGCTGAACTTACTAGTAGGAAAGAGAATTACTCGAAAAAGCGAGCGAGAAAGTTTTTTGAGATTGTTTTTAGCAAATTACACAAATCCGGAGGGGTACACCCTTCACGTTTTATAAATTTTTCTGAAAAACCCTTATACCCCTACCAAAAGTTGATAGCGATTGAACTAAGTAATTTAGGACAGTTCTAGACAAAAAGGGAGGGCTGAAGGCACAAGACAACCATAATAGAGTCGAGATTAGGCAAGTGATAAGACCCTTCACCGTTAGTGTGAATTGTCAAATAAGTGCCTTAACTTCAATCCGGAGGGGTCTAGGAAAGGACCCTATACCCTTCCCAGTTAATTCAAACAGCATAATAGCAACGCAGAACGTATCCGGAGGGGTATAAGCTGAAATTAAGAAAACTACAAAAAGCTACTTTGACAGAGCTAAGGGCTCCCAATCCGGAGGGGTCGAAATTTTTCAAAGTCAGAGGGGTCCGAATCCGGAGGGGTCTACTTTCCACAAAACCGGAGGGGTCCGAATCCGGAGGGGTCTTATAGTTGCTAATTCCGAGGGGTCCCAATCCGGAGGGGTCTATATTCTGACAGTCCGGAAGGGTCCTATTTGTGCCAATCCGGAGGGGTATCATTTTATTAAGGACTTAGGTAAACGAAAGAAAGACTAAAAAGCGAGAGGTATTAGGTTATTAATACACAGGCTAGGTATCAGTGACTGCACTGGTAACTTGCCTTTCAAAAAGAACCAGACTAATACAAAACAGATCCGAACTCGGATATTCGCGACACTAAGTCTAAATTAGAAAGAGCGTGACTCATTGGTGTGGATTGAAACATAATACGTTTTTGGGAAAAGTGACTGCCCTGAGGATTTTAGTAGGTCTAGCTCGGGCAGTCCCAAGGCAGATAGGTAACACAATACTCGGTGGGTGCAATAGACGCCCACTTGAGAAAATTACTGCCTTCAAAGTTTTGTCTGTTTGGTGCAGCACCAAGCAGGGAAAGCTTTTTCTTTAAAAGACAGGTTCGACTATTGTACTGCGACCAACTAAGAGTACAAGACACATACGTTTTTTTTATATATACATTCATATTGTGTCAATATATAATTCTTGTTTTTGATTTTAAATCAACCTAAACTGTGCTTGATTGGGTAGTGACTACACTATCTTTTAAATTGACTGATAACATCATATTGTGCTAGTTTCCAGATCTTTGGACCGATAATCGGCTAGTGTGAATAACTTTTATACAAACTGTACTCTGACAACATACAGGGATTCGTGGTCACTATTTAATAGAATCTGGTGAAATTTATTGTGTTGTGTCATTATTTTTGTTAATAAAACTATAAGGTCTCTAGCAATTGAGTCAAGAGTAAGCATAGGAAAGTGACAAATAAAGAATGAGTTTAGACAAGTCAAGGATACCAAAACGAGGTAATAGCTCTAGGAAATTCATACCTGAAAAGCAAAGAAAAACGATCCTTTTGTGGATTGGATCAAGCGAACCCGGTCCGATAAAGAGGGGACGGTTTCAGGCAGAATGGTTGAAACGAGAAGTCAAAAGACCTCAGAAGAGCGAAGAGAACTGTTAGAAGTGGAGGTCAATACGGACCACACCATGAATGACAACCAGGAAGTAAATGAACTGGAAGGGAGAGGCAGAAGGCTGGCGAGTGAATCTACCCCGGTAGAACAAGGCCATGATTTTGCCACTTCCACCGGGACATTGGATCGAGAGGAGATGTCGGAACTGTCCGACATCTCAACTGAAGTAACGGCAACTAGAAGATCTCCGACAGACAACACTATGATGGCAGGCGGAACGGGGAAACAAACAACGTCATCATCATTCTCAGAAAGAATGAAGAACACCTTCGGAAACATCTTTCCATTCAGCATGGGAGGAGGAGCAGGAAATGACGGTGAATCCCAAGAGGAAGAGGATGAAGAAGAGCAAGGGGACTTTGGATCTCAGGTCAGCCTCAACAGTTCGATCCAGGAGAACGAGGCATACGTCGGAGGAGAGACTGGAACCATGGACAAATTTGGTGTAGTGACAACGATAAGCAAAGAGGCAAACACACCAGGCCAGTCAAAAGACTTCGCGATTAGGACAAGTTCAGAGCCACAAACTGGAGAGAGTAGAACCAGAGGGCTAGGCAACGCGTTAGCGGATCCTGAAATAGATAATGATAAAACGTCAAGACAGAGAGCCAAGGCCCGGATCTCTACCAGCACGAAGCTACCTGGGACCGACAGAGTTACACCACCACTAGTGACGCCACTCATGGATAACGGGGCAGCACTAGAGGAAGCCTTAAACAACATAGTGGGCAGTTTAGGAGAACAAAATGAACAGATGTCGATAAGGATGAGCGAACTGGAAAGAGCAGTTCACATTGAAAGAGAAAGT